AATTCAGAAAGTCCTAAAACACAGCCTAACTTCTGCAGCAGCAGCACAAAATTTATCTCATTTTCAGCTTCTGGACTACTCCTTGCAATAGCTTTTAATCTCTGTCACAAGACATAGCAGAGTGTTGACAGAACCATTGTGAGTGTATCTAGCATCACATCATTCCGCAGCCAAAAGCCATTAACAAAAGTTGCTTTTTCCGCAGTGATCTAAATTATTGTTTATTTACTGACTTGGGGAAGGGGGAGGAAGTACTTCTCAGGCTATGGAAAGCTATTCCCGCTGCTGACTGAACAATAAATTGCATTCACATTAGTGAACCCCTTTACAAAATCAAGTGGAAGACACTTTCATTTTTGTCTCTTTACTGAGGTTTAGATCCTGGTAAAAATGCCTTTGAAGTCGCACCGTTTGCTTACCCTCATGAGCAAACCTCCCAGAATACGGTAATACTAAATTAACAGATATTAGTTGGGGGAAAAAGATAGTAATTAATATTTTAGAAACTTTTTTCTAAGCCTTCAGCAGAAAGTGCTACTGGCTAGACTTAAAAAACATAAAACTCACCGCTGTGAGCACTATTAAGCCTCAGGCAAAACAAAGGCCACGCAGTCTATCTCCCAAGAAAAACAAACAGCACAGCACTCCGCAGAAGCCTTTCCAAGGGAGAGCCCTCTGAGCAAATTCTTGCCGAGGCTGACACACAACATCTATTCCAACAGCCCCAGAAAACAGCCCCTTCCAGCGCCTGGTGCCCCGTCCGCGGCCAGGCACATCACTGGGCTCGCTCCTTTGATCCAAGTTGGGCACACAAGGAAGCACCTGCAGGTCCCGACTGCGTGAGCCTCATCTGGCAATGTTTAAAATTGCTATCAAATGTCAAAAGTTTCAAATAAGCAATTAAAGCGAATTACTAGGTGAAACAGGCTTCTCATTTAAAAGAAACGACTTCTTTTGATGTAAAGAAAATTAATGACCCCAATTCTAGCTCCATAAACACAGTTTACAGCGTAAGGCAGATCAGAGTCAGGCCCGTCTTGCAGTTACAAGGAAATAGGGTGGATGCCATATTAAAGGGGGGAAGAGAAAAAAAAAACCAACCTAAAAAAATTTGTTTATTTAGAAAATTGCACAAAGCAAACCATATAAGCACATGGTATGCCAAATTTAAACCTTCTAATTTATTTATAGTAAAAAAAAAAAAGTCATCTCATTTCCAGTGCTTGTATTTTGCTAAGCATTTACAAGGAGCCTTTTAACCCCCTCATCCAGCCTCTGTGATCCCCCGTTTGCATCTGTGGCCATCCTCCTCCAGCACCTCACCAAGAGCCCAGCTGTACAGTTACATTACTTTTATTTTTCCACTCTGTGCAACAAAAACACCTGGCTAATGGTTGGGCGTGAAGGGCAGAGGAAACACAAGTTGCTGTTAAAAACATTAACCACAACTTAAAAGTTAAGCCAGCCCCATTAAAGAGGTTTCACTACCTGGTGACAATGCCTGGTCCCGGGGAGCCCCCACTTCGGCAGCTTGCGCCCTAACAAGGCTGGGGTGGAAGTTACACTCTCATGTTTTACAGAGGGAAGAAATAAAATTTGAGTGTCCAAATGTGTTAGATGCACATGGGGGGGGAGCAATTAATGCCACCCTTGTTACAGCTCCTCCGGCACAGAGGCAAGGCAGACAAGTCGCTGGGGGCATTGGCACAAAAATTAAACACACAACATACAAGCCTCTATTCCAAACAGCACTCCAAAACCAATTTAGTCTGCTGTGCTACAAAGAAGATGACTCCTTTATTCCTGCACAGCATAAATAAACTATGTTCTTTGTCACACCTACTTTCCAAATGCTGTTCTTACCTTCTGAACAAGCAGGATAAGCAAAATACTGGGATGCTCTAACATTCACAGCTTCCCCTCCCACTACAGAAACCAAAACCCTGATTTCAGTCTCAGCTTGTTAACTTTTGCATATAAATTTTAGATAGTCAAACATCACAGACTGTTAGAAGGGTAAAATAAATGGTCCCACTAGGGACAACTGCTCTGGGGAGCCCAGCAGCGCCCAGGGAGGTCAAGGCACGAGATAATTACACGTACTTATATGAGGAAGAATTTTCTGAAATGCCTGGAATTACCACTGTTTTTCAGCAAGCGGTTCTTACAGACACAAGCACGCCTGCAAACTGCTGCTGCGAGATTAAACACACACGTGCAAATTGCCCCCGTGAGGAAGAGCATAGGGACGTGGTCTGCAAGTCCCTCCAAGCTCAACAGGGCAGGGTGGTAAACTTGGGAAATCAAGATTGAGCCCCCCCACTGGAACACACGGCAAAACACCCATTTAGTTCAACACCAGCTGCATTTAGCCTGGAGTTTGCCTTCAGGCTTTATCTCTGAAACCAGGAGTAGGGAAAACGAGCTCAGATTTGAAAACACATCCCGCAACATGTTACAGAAAGAAACAAACAGTCATTTCTGCCATTCTACAATTTTAATTCACACTTCCCTCTCTGATGTATACCTCGGCTGCTGCACTGCCTCCCCACAAATTCCAGCCAGGACCAAGCAGGGTTTCAGCTACGCAGGTCACACCGATGCGCTGAGTGTGGGATGCACAAACCAACCCCACATCTTCACAAAATACTACAGCCTGGGACGGTTGTCCTTGAAACTACAGACATACTCAAAGCAACTGGGACGTGGCCAAAGGGCAACAGCTCCGAAAAGCCCTTCTACAGCTTAGGCACCAAAATCATAGCCAAGTTTTCAAAAGCATGCAACACCAAATGACCTTGCCTGAGTTGAACTCCTGAAAGCCTGAAGCAGTCTGTCAGTGATACCGCACTTAAAAAATTAGGTTGAATTTTAGCTCAGTCTGTAATTTCCCAAGTATTTACAGTCTGCAGTTAGATCGTTTGTTTAATTAACAAGAAGTAAGAGAGTGCTTTTCCATTGCAAAAGATACAAGCTTTAAATCTTACCTGCAGCTACTGACTTGTAACTCCCAAACTAAGCAAGAGGAGAGGACGCAGAAAAGCATCTGGATTCTCACTTAAGAAGTCCCTGAAGTAATACCCACCCATCTGTAACCTAATCCTTTCGGCGAGGAACTATCCACAGAGTGCGAACAAACGATGACGAACAAATGATGAAAAGTCAAATTGCCAACAACCATCCTCAGTAATTACCTGCAATTCTGCCCGGCACTAGTTTCTGCAATGCAAGTGTATCTGGAGCAGTATTCTGAATTAAATTAAACTCCTGATATACAGATAATTAAAAAGAAAGAAGAAGAATCGCTGAATGTCACACTGAAATATATACTTAAATACAGACCTAGGTAAACAACATTGTTAAAGGATGCTTTGGGAGAAAGGAATGTACTTTCCCAATGCAAAAGAATCAATGTTAATGATTTTTTGTCTTAATTGTCTTTCCAGATTTCTGCTGCGCTGCTTACAAATTAGTTTTTATCTTACATGACATTGTGAGATATCCACTAATATCTTCTATATTGACAAATACTTTGAAGGCTGATGCTTGCTTTCAGCTATATAGCAGTCATTGTCAGAAAAAAAAGAGAAGAAAAAGAACACTCTACTCAGCAAAACCAGAGACTGCTCAATGTAATCAAGGAAAAAAGAAAAGAAAACCACAAACAG